TGTGTATTATGCTATTCGCTTAACAGCGGAAAACATGGCAATGACCTGAATCTCCCGGGATCCTACCCACTTAAATTAAATGAAACAACTTCCACTGCCTTTCCTAATGCCTTAATTCGGTCCTCAGTTAAACTGCCGATGTGCGCTTGTTTCTTCCAGGGAAGGATTCTGCAAGACGGAGGAGAAGATGCCAGCATTTCGCCCCGGGCACCTCCAGTGGGCTGCAGTCTGCTCCCAGCCTCACTCGAGCAGGCCCCGCCCTCCCAGAGGCCGTTAGTCCAAGTCACGTGATCGCCGACTCCGCTGACCCTGCAGGACCGGAAAAAGGAATTCCGGGGTCCTGGCTTCCTGGCCTGATGATGAGGCACCAGGGCTGCTGGAGAGGGAATGAGGGGGCACCAGTGGCTTGGGAAACCTGGGAGGGTGTCTGCGCTGGCCTTTCCGCAAACACAGTGTGTGCGGGCCTGACGGCTGCGAGTCCGCTAGAGGAAAGTCCACCACTACCCCTCTCCGGAGACGGGGGCCGGGGTGGGGAGCGGGTAAGACAGAGCAGACCCGCCAGCTTAGAGTCCTTGTGCTTCCCTAGTGAAAGGAAGGGCCCCCGCCTCCCGGGGCAGGAACTAGGGCTTGTCTGGAGCTGGGAGTCCTTTCAGGTCTTCCACAGCCCCAAGAGGACCTCCCAAGGACACCCCCTTCCCCAGCCCTGCTGTGGGACTTAGACAAGAACGTGCTTAGACTCAGGCTCACTCTTGCACACTGTTAGGAAGCCCCTCCGCTCTTTCCAGAGCCAGAAAGTAGTAGTTTTGGGGTTGAGACTTATCCATCCATCCATCCATCCATCCATCCATCCATCCATCCAGTCCATCCATCCGTGCGTTCTAAGCGCCTAGTCTATACCATGAAGTGTGCTAGGCGCTGAGAGGACTTGAGCTGTCCAGGGAAGGGGAAATCGGAGGCTTGAATTGGAAGTCATAGTTAAGGCTCCAGGGCCAGAGACCTAACCGTGCCTTGTGTGTAGTGCTAAGGGGGCTTCCTGAGGATGCTATTAACCTTAAAGGCGGATGGCAGGAGCTGGCTGGCTGAAGTACAGTTTGTGCACCGGGGTTGGCAGGCAAGGGTGGGAGGCGTGTGTCTTCAGACAGGGAACAGCATGTGCAGAGACTTCAGGTGA